GATGTTTTCCCCAGTCTTTAAATCATTTCTGCAGTACTTTTTCCTACTCTCACTAATTTTTCAACATCTTTTTCAAATGTGGATGCCAGGTCTGGATGCAGCATCCCAAAGTAAAATTACCTCCTTACTCCCACTGAGTATTTTCCATTTATATGGTCAAGGAGCACCTTAGCAATTTTAGTTACTACGTTGCTTTGACAACTCTTGTTTGACTGCATGTCCAGCCAGGCACCTAAATCCTACTCCCCTCTCCTGTATACCAACTTTCATCATATATCTTTAAAGAAAGACAGTAAAAAGTGATTCCAAAACATGTTACAAGCACCTAATGAGGGCCTCAAGCCTTTTGCAACATGTGGGGCAGAAGGCACTTGAAACTGCTCCTCAAACCCTCAGTTTCCTTCTTCACGGCCCACTGAAATAACCCTTGCCCTATATTTTAATACTGAATTCAGTGTGTTTGACACAAGCCTGGAATGTCCAGTGTATACAGATTTAGGAACTGGAGGATCTGTGAGGAATGAAGTTCAGGACAGCTGGATAAGGAAGATCTGGAGCTGCAAGCACACAGGAAGAGTTGAAGTCCATTTTGGCTTTCTGCAGCCTGTGCTCAGCTAAGGTTCATGGTAACAGGGACAGAGTGTAGCTCCTAAATACCTTCTTCTCTTGGAAAGGAGAAGAAGGGATATTATTTATTGCAGGAGGAGACAGTAAATTACCCAAGTTCTATACGGCAAATGTTACAAGGCTGGCACTTAGCTCTGTCTAGCGTTACAGCAAGAAAACCAAAACGAATCAGCTACTTTGGTTCCTGACTTCACCCTCAGTTCCTTGCCCTCTGATCATCCACACATAATGAAGCCCACCTATGGTTCTGGAAACAGCCAGGTGCCTCTCCCTCCCTTTGGGCAACCTGTCCGAGGCTGGTTCTCTCTGATTTACCCAGGCCACCACCCCAAGCCCAGCAGCCCTTGCACCCTCACCTACCTCCACAGCACTTGTACCACACCAGGATACACCCTTAATGCCATGCTGGAAAACACCACTCTGGACCACGGTAGGGATCTCAACTTCTTTCAAGCACTTCGAACAGGAAAAATATAATTATGGGTGAGGATGATAGGAACGCTACTAAGACAAAACCTGGGACCTAGGGAAGACTGAAGCCCAGGGTAACACACGTGGCCAGGAACAGTCTGCTCTTGAGGGAACACCCAAGCAAATGTGAGCCATCTAGTATCACTTGGTGAGGGAGCCTCAAGTAAATGCCACAAGTCACTGGCTGTTTAATTTTGGCTGTTTCCAGACAAAAGGTGCTACGGTGACAAATAACCATATGCGCGCTTTTTTTCCCCAAATGTCAACCCTGAAGCCTCATTCTTGTAGTAGAGACCTGCACTGGGGTCAGTCTGGCTCTTTCAGCCTCACTAATAACCGAGACCCATGGTCAAACTCTTTCTTTGTTCTTTCTCAGCTCATCCCAGGGGCTGTCACTGAAGAGAAACAGGGATAAGTGAGGAAAGCATCTGGCCAGGCCGTCCATCAGTATCAGCGCTATTGATGATGTATGAGCCAGAACAAAGTCCAGTGCACACACCTGGAGCTGTGCTGGCTCAGCAGGACTAAAAGGCAAAATATATCTAAAAGAAAAACAAAAAAGAGAAACCTTTATTTTGTTGAGCAGTAGCAGGTCCAGCAATCAGTACACTTGGAGAGCATTTTTGGTGAGTAGGGAGGGACTGTTCTTCCTGTCTTTTTCTATGTAAAATCATGACACAGAACCTGTCTTTGAGCCCCTCAGCATCTATAGAGTAAGACAACATGGTACTGTGCCCCCTCTGGCTTTTGCAGAAGGATGAAAACCTGATTTAGCCCTGTTTCTTATCCAAGGAGGTAAAGTATTTAATTCTTGATGGTTTTGCCGATAAGAAATAATGGGAAACACCTTCCCTCAGAAAGATTGGGGGGGTTCTTTTTTTTTTTTCTCTTTTTTTTCTGATCTTACCCAAAAGAGCATTTTCAGTCTTGGATCTAAGAGGAGTCTTTTCACATAGGGCATCTTTTTATGCCCCCTGCAAGACTTATCTTCTGCAGGAACCACCCTAAGCCGGACCCTGTTTAAGGTGGTGCTGAGAAAGGTCAGGGCCTTCTGGGAACCCTTTTAAATTGTGCAGCAGGATTTCAAAGTAATGTGGCCTTCCACAGCCTGCCGGCAAGAGCGTCAGCAACCAGCTGATTTTTTCTGCTGGGTCAGCAGCCCAAAACTGGGACACACTGGTCTAAACCTCCTGGTTTATGATAACTCCGAGCAACATGTCTCTGATATACCCAGCAGTGAGTTTTACGCTAGGCTTTTCAGAAGTGGCACACCAAACTTCAGCCCTGGCAAGAAAAAAAATGAAAGGATGCTGATCCCATCTTAGGCTGAACACTCTTCAACACCAGTTAGCAACAGCTTTTTTAGCCATTTAAGCGTCAACACTTGAATATCAGAGAAAAGGGCATTCTAGCCAACAAATGCTTCAGAAGGAAAGATATTCACCCTCTTCTGCACACCTTTTGCTTTTTAAACCCAGTGTTTCTCTGCATGGCTCACTTTGCTTTTAGATGTGGAGTTATCTTTGTAAATCATGAGATCCAGGCCCACATGGTCCCAAGGCTAGCAGGGCTGAGGTACCTGGCCATGTCAACCCTCAGGGAGCAAGGACATGAGGTGGCCCAGCACCAAGGCTGGTGCAACAACCCCACCAGAAAGGGTGAGCGGGTCCCCATTTCTGGCCAGCCGGAACAGCTCAAACCCCAAGTGAGGCTCGGCATGACCCCATTTTCCTAGAAGCTGTTGCCTTCTGAGCACTGTGCTTCAGCGTTCATCCCACAGTCCTCATGACACCCTCAGAGTAAGGAGGTGACCTCAGCTGTCTGGGTTGAAAAACCAAGGGGCAGATTCTCAGCTCTTCCAGTCAACATAGCTTCACTGGAGACCAAGGAGCTACCCCAATTCACCCCAAATGACAGTCTGCCTCAGAGAGGCAAAGCGGTGCATTGCAGCCACTCCACAGGTCAATGACAGCACTGGGTGTGGAGATGGAACATCCCTGCTTCCTGGTCTGACAGTACTGCCGAAGTAGCTGGAAATCACACCCGGCAGTTAAGTTTTGTTCCAATCAGCCAAGCAATGCAGAGGACTGGGCCTCAGAGCCAGCAAAAGAATTTCCAATCCCCTCAAGCAATTAAATTCACCGTCTTCTCTTTTCAGCAGCAGTGCCTTCAGTTTTTGCTGCCCTTCACCCTCAGCCGCCGGTGGATGCCAACAGGCGCGCGATGGCTCTGCCTCCCAGCTGGCCTTATACAGTTATACCTACAGTGAGTGACAGGCAGATACTTGTATACACAGGGGAGCTGGGCAAGACCCTGTAGCTATGGTGTGAAGGCCAAGCAAAACCATGAGAATCCTCACAAGGCATGGGATCGGTTCCCCAGGCTTCCATCAGGAAAACCTCCCGTGTGCCCCTGAGGGGCTTGTGTCGGTAGGTGGAGGCCCTAGTTTTATGTATCATCAGAAGGCATGGTGAGGAGAGCTGCAGAAAAGCCCCATGCAACGCAGACTTAGCTAGCCAGGGCAGACACTTCAGCTGGAAACCTGCCTTGCAGACATCAGACATGCTGCATGCATCACATACATTGCCGTAGCTTTTAATGTAGCTTAACAATGGCGTTGGAGACAAAGGAGAAGGCAAGGTGTACAGGGGAAAAAAAAAATATCCCAAAATGATACCCTTTTATTTGTAAAGCTCTGATGAAACAACTTTCCAAATGGCATCCCACTTAAAAAACAATGGAAACCAACCTAACTATGCGTCAGTCACACTATACAGATTGCATCCTACGTTTTCAAGATGCCTAAATATCTTATGGAGTATTTACATATGTATCAGTTAGGTAGTAAAGTTTCATTGCGATCTGTTTCTTTCCAACACATACTTATTCAATGGAAAAAAAAAAACAAAAACAAAACACCAAACTGGGGATGCATTTGCATTTTTGTACAACACCTAGGAGCAAACAGCTAGGGCAATTTTCCTGAGAGAAGGCTTGTTCTTTGAAACTCTTGCTTTAACACCTGGAAATACAGAAAGTGGATGGGGTTTTTGTTGCGCTAAAAAGCCTAAGGATGCCTAGTTAAGTTTTTCTTTTTAAATTATTTACGTACCATTAAGTTAAAATGTTTACATTCATTCATTCGTATAAAAACTGTTGTTAAATCTTATGCAAATGATTTAACACTGATTGCTGCAACGCAAATTGCACTTCTTTAAAAAAATTATTGTATATATGGAAGAAAAATATCTGATTGCTACCCTGTTTACAAATTTCGACTGACTCCATACAGTTCAGCCAGAAAATACGAACTTTCATAAACCTCAGTCACAGTGTACTTTAAAAGTTATATCGCAGTCTTGCAAAGTGAGTAAATATCTTAAACCAAATAAAATCCAAAATCTCCTTAACAACCTGGACCTTGTGAGACTTGTACCAAACGTTGTGATTTCTTCCAGGGCACAGCTGGGCTCTGAAGAGCAGAGCAAGGCACACTGAAGACGGAGGGCACAGGAGGAGAGGACCAAGAAAGAGAAGACATCAAATGTTCGGTGCGAGACATCTGTGCTGACACAAGCAACACGCACTTCTGACGCTTGTTAAAAAGTATCTCGCTATCTCTAGTAATCAAAGCCTTTGGTACTCCCTCCCCGACACTGACAACGTCCACCAAATGCTTTGGGGAGAAGGCGATGAGAGAGTGAAAACCACTGTACAGTCAGAAAGGCAGCGCTGCTGGGTAAGTCGAGGATGTATTTCTGGAATCTATCAATAGGTCTAGGTTTCTCTCTTCTTTTTTATTCTCTTCCTTTTTTTTCTTTTTTTTTCTTTTTTTTTGAGAGTGTAAGGCTGCATTACTTATCCCCCGGTG